GGCCGGGCTCTGTCCCCGCTGACGCTGGGGGTCTGCTGGGGGCGCTGGGGCTGGAGCGCCGCCCTCGGAGCCCCCGCCCATGGGCGACTTGCTGCCCTCGAAACTCCCCAGAGCGCTCGGCCGCCACTGGGCCGAGGTGACCGCAGCCCAGTTCCTGCCCGGCTGCTTCCCGGCGCCTCCCCGGTGTCCTTGCCAAGGAGGTGGGCGCGAGGTCTCTCCTGCCCGACGGACTGTCGGGGCCTCTCCTGTGTGACTGCCTCCCGGGAACTGTGGCCGAGGGGCAGCTCCGGCTCCTTCCTGCTTCACGTTCACCCTCCTTGGCCACTGACCTCTTTTGGGTGTCTTTATCCAAATGGTGGCTTTTCTCCCGTTAGGGGCTGCGGGGAACCACCTGTTCTTTTGGCCTCAGCCCAGGAGACTGCCATCCCTGACTTCACCCTCAGCTTATAATAAAGCGCTTTGAAAGCCAAGCAAGTGTGTCCTCCGTCTTTTTCTTTTCTGCATGTAGTTGACCCACAGTCTTGAGGGGGTTTTTGCTTTCTGGCCTCCTGGTCAATTTGCTCTCCTGGAGTCTTGAGGCTCTTTTAAGTGTGTTCTTGCTGCTGGTGAGTCTAAAGGCTAACAAGACAGCTACTCACCTATTTTCCTTGCCTTTCCTCCCTTGTTCTTTTCTTATGGTCCAGCAAGATGGGGCTCCCTGTTCTAGAGCACTGGGCAAGAAGGGGAACTGTCTGCTACTTTGTACCCCTTTTGCTCACAGAACATTAGCGGTGCAAGGAACCTAGGGGATTGATTGATAAGTTAAGCAACTTGCCCAAGGTAACTCATGTCACTGACTTGGGGTGGGAGTTGACCTCACATGCTGATGCTCCGCAGTGTTCTTCTGGTTCTGAGACTGAGAACTTGGCCTTGGGATCGGTGCGATTGAATTCACCCTTCCTTAGCTTTCCTTTGACTTAATCATTATTGCCACAGGCCTGCAAATGTGGACCCAACCTGAGTCCTATCCGTTTTTCCCCTCATTTCCTTAGCACTTAATATTGAGGCTGAGTCTTGCCCAGATGAGATTTTAATTCTTCTGAACTGTGATGTGAATGGTATGAATGGCTACAAGTTTTGTTTGTTTTTTTTGTTTTGTTTTGTTTTTTTATATCAAGGAACATACAGGTCCAGCCTGAGGAGAGTTGTGCAAACTTCCCTTTGACATTGTCCTCTTGTCCCCAGCTCCATGATAAGGATGTCAGGTAAGAGTAGAGTGTGTGGGCCTTGGGCTCATTTCTTCTGTTTGTCTTTACCTTATCAATTTAGGATTTGACAACAGCATTTCAGATCCAAGAAGCTTGGAGTTAGGAGTGGAAAATAGAAAATTAAACACCACGCACAAGAATACTGTTTTCCTTTCCGGTAGGAGAGTGTTTTTCAAACTGCGTGAAATCCACAATAAGGAATATACTTTACATCACTGCACAGAAGTCCACAACTGCCATAAGTTTCAGGAAACAATTGCCCTTACTACCTGCAGTGTGCTCTATATTTTTTTTCTGCTTAATTAAAAGAGACTAACTGCTGGTCATGACCCATTAATTTGATTTTTTGACCAAATGGCTCATGGCCCACAGTTTAAGAAACACAGCTCTAGGGCAGAGGTCTTTAAATTTAGTGTGACTAAAGATGACCCTGGGTACTGTTTATTTTATTTATTTATTTTTTTTAGGCGAGGCAACCCGTGGTTGACCTCACAGATTGCAAGGATCTTGTCAGTTTACAGTCCCTTATTTTTTATTTTTTTGCGCCTACGGCCCTGGTCTTTCCTAGATGGTTTCCCATCCAAGAACTAATCAGGCCCGATCCTGCTTAGCTTCTGAGATCAGACGGGATCCGGCTTGTTCAGAGTGGCATGGCCGCAGACGACCTGGGTACTGTTTAAAAATGCAGTTTGTCAGTCTACTCAGAGATGTTTAGTCCCAGTGAGGCACATATTTAATAAGTGGCTATGAGATTGTGATGCCGGTGGCTGATAAGAAACCCTGATCTAGTGGGAATTAAGGGCAATAAATAAAGAAAGGCATTAACTTGGATATAAATTGTGCAAAGCCTTAGTCAGGTATGTGACCCACACTCTCTGTTCAAACCCAAGCTCACTCATCTGTCAGTTACATTAGCCTAGGCTTTGAAAAGTCTAAGGATATAGTGTTGTTTTCTTTCAGTTGCCATGAAGTCTTGGCCATAAGAGGCAGACACCCACTCCCTCCCCACATCACTCCACTCTAGCTGGAGGGCTTCTGTTCATTGTTCTGGGCCACTGGATGTTTCTCGGTGCGTGGGGTTGGGGTCGTGAGTAATGATGAGTTAGCTGTATTATTCACAGATATTTGAATTTTCACTTTTAATGATTTTTAAGGCAGCAGCACAGTCATTGTGTCTAGGATATTAACCGGCCAGCAGAAGAAGAGTTGATTTTGTTTAATATCTGTGTATTCCAGCCTGGGAGAAAGGCAGACTGGTGATTTTATTTTTGTTTGAGGGTGGCAGGGGGTGTTGTCGAAGGCTTATCTGTCAACAGTTGTTAATGAGAAGAGGCACAAGTTTGCCCACTTCTCAGCCCTGGTTCTTTCCTATAGTGACAGCTCTGTTCCTGCGTGCAGATGGATCTTGTAGTCATCCAGTTTCTGATGCTGTTACCTCTATTTCTACCTTCAAGCACGAACGTACATCTGATGCAGCCACATGTTGGATGTTTCCTTCTTAGTTATTGTGTCCAAACATGTTGGTAACAGAAGTTTCCTTGAATTAATCAAAGCTGCAATTTAACTTCAAAAAGAACTCTAAATTAATCAAATTCAACTGTGGTCCTTCCTGCCAAAGATATGCCTTATGTGGGAACCCTAACTGTAGGATTGTTGAAATAACTTTAATAATGCTCAGTTTGGTCAAGCAGCTCACATTTAGAATGTTTCGTTTAAAACCTACTGGAAAAAGAAAGTAACAAAAGTGTTAGGCTAGGATAGGAAAAGCAGAGGGAAGACATAGGTGTTCAGATGGGATTAAAATGGAGAATCAGGGTCAGTTTCCTTTGCATAATGCCCTGGCATTTCCCTAGGGCCTGCCAACCAAATCCTTAGGTGTTCTGATATTCATCTGTTTAGCATGAAGAGGGTATTAAGCTCTGGAAAAAGAAGTATCCTTTTGAACTTTAGCCTCCAGTGATGGAAAGCCAGGGCCTTCAGGCTAAAGGCATTTTGTTAGAGTTCATAGTTTTCAGTGATACACCTTTAACAAAGTACTATACTTTCATCCTAAAGGACCCCACCTACCTTAATTTCCTCTGGAGCTGTAAATATAGCCCTGAAGGGTTTAAATTTAAAAGTAAATTGGATTATGCTACACTCCTGTTTACAGCTTTCCAATGGCTTGTTTGTTTACAGCTTTCCAATGGCTTCTCATTCTCTTCAAACATAATGCAACTCCTTTCTCTGTAGATTAAAAGGCCCGTCACCTCTCCCAATTTCTCCCACCTTATCTCCTACAGCCCTTGCCCAGTCCACTCTGCTTCATTCTGCTCTACTGCACCAGCCTTCTGGAGACTTCTAAAACGTGGAAGGTTGGTTTTTGTCATTGGGACTTTTCTACTGGTAGTCTCTCTTTCCAGAATGCTATTTCTCCAAATTTTTGCATGATTGGCTTCTCTCACTTGGGTCTCAGCCCCTATCTGAGTTATTTAGAATAGCTTCTCCTCTCCCTTCTCAGTCTCTCTTAATTCCTTTTTTTTTTTTCCAAATCTAATCCCATCTAGAAATTTATCATCTACTTGATGGGCGGCTCCCTTGCAAACTTGAGAGCTTTTGTCTTGCTCACTGCTTGCCATGGAGTAGCACGGGATAAAACATCTATCTTTTGTTGGAATGAATAAATGTCTAAGGAGTTAATAAGGTTTAGTCTCTAAGAGTAGGAAACCATACTTTATTTTCAAGAGAAGAAAACATTTTTCCTCTCCCTTTTCCTGGGATGGGGTTGTATTCCTTTGGAATTACTTTCCTTTGGGATTTCTGCTTTTCACACTCTTTTTCATCCTTTCATTTTTATAGGTCACCAAAGTCTCTAAAAACTCCATTGTTGTTTTGTTAATGAACAATTTTTTCCTCCTCCAGTAGCCTTATTCTGGGCCTCACTGTTCTGACAAACAAGCATTTCTACCAGTAATCACATTTCATAACTACTAGGAGGCACTATAAGTAGTGTTAAGAGGCTAGGTTTTGGAACCAGAGAGATTTGGATAATTAGCTCTGTGACCTTGGGCAATTTGCTAAACTTCTCTAAATCTCTATTCATTATTTGTTAAATGGGACTAATAATAGTAACTATCACACAGGATTGATGGAAAGATTAAATGAGAAAATGTAGGAAAACCAGGTACAGAGCCTGGCACATAAGCACTTAGTGTTAGCTATTAATAACAATACTATTATTAATAATTAGATTCTCCTTCCCTCTGACTGGCAGGAATTCCCAATCCATTGATTTGGTAACGGACAGGAAGAGGTAAAAACCACCAAATTGTTGACATAAGGAAGTCTGATTTTTGAGTTTATTTGAACCAGTTTAAGGAAGTTTACATGAAGGTGGGAGAAAGCAAGGTGGAGATTGGATTACAGGGTAGTTAACAAGATTATAAGCTCTCTTGAGGGTGGTTACACTTATTTCAAAGGTATGTTAACCTGGATACACAAGAATGGTCAGGGCTTGCTTAAGGCAAAGATAAACCTTTTACTAAAAAAGTTATATGCCTGGGGCAGGACTACGCACCATGACTAGCCCAGTTAGGAATTTGTGATCCGATCACCCCGTGAGGTTACCTTCCACAGAACCCCTTTTCTGTCCACAAACTCGTAAATTAGTATAAGTAAATGAAGGCAAAAAATGCCACTTAGATCTATCAGAACTAGAATGGAATTTAGAAATGTGTAACTCTTAGTAAATGTCCGTGTGGAAGATGTAATATTTATAGAAGTTTTTGGAAAGACATGTTGTCTACCTGTTCCTCTGGCCATTCTTAGTTTTATCCTTGGACTAAGGTAGGACAACTGAAAGCTGTATACTTGGGCCATCTAAGCCCCTCCAGAATTGTTTTCACTGAGATGAGGTGTTTTTGCCCTTTGCTTGCATGGAGGGACACTTATAACTTTATATAACATGCTACTACATTTCTTATAAGGCTTTATATTGTTGAAAACTTAAGCTACAACTTTACTTAATGTCTCCTTTGAGAAGTTAATTGGAAGAATTTCAGAATCAAGTGCCAGGAAAAGCTTTGCCTCTTCCGAGAGACTGGTATGATTTTTCTCTGTGGACAGTTGGAAATCTGTAACTGTTTCTCTTTTTGCTTTGGCTGCCAGGAAGCACTGAGCCAAATTTGTGGCTTGAATTTAGTAACCGTAGGGCCCTGCATTCCTAATTTTTTCTGGTGTTAACCTTGTAATTTTTATTTTCTCTAATTTCAAGTTATTGGTTTATAACTTTCTATTAATTAGATATATGCTGGATTAGGTATTAAAATCTATTTTAGGTATTACATTTTAGAGATATAAACATTGAGGCTCAAACAGGCTAAAAGGACTTAAGACACAGGTAATTAGGGCAAAGCACAGACTATAAAACCATACCTTTTGTTTCTTAGGCCCAGGGCTCTTTCTACTCCTATACATTCTGGAAGAATACCAACTCCTGACTAAAACCCTAAATAACCCGTAATGTCCCAATACTAGGCAAAGCCTACCTCCTCGAGCATGCTGTCATGCCAGTGAGGTGTCACACCACCCACACTCCTGTCTCCTGAGTCAACAGCACTGCTCTCCTGTCTCCTGAGCTACAGGGGAGCCAGCCCTTCCCTGTGGTCTTGAGAATGTGGTATATCCAGACTTAAATGGCTCTGATCTAGAACTAGATTGCCAGCTCAGAATGAAAATAGCCCCTAGTGTCTGGAGTTCCCTTATCTGTTCCTTAATATCCAGGAAGGAAGGCTTGATATTCAGATGGCAGATGGGTGCCACTGAGGCTGGGACAGAGTCTTCTGGGTGTGAACAGTGGCTGAGTTTGGTAGGACTAAAGAAAGTGGCCTTATTTTACCTGATATGAAATTTAGTTATAGGAAATATTGATCTTCCTAATGATTTGTTTCGTTTCCCCATGGGAGTACCTGGGCCAGAAAGCGTAAGCTTGGAACACATCCCGCCTGAGTGAGGAAAAT